TGGACAGTACCTTTCTGTTACATTATCTCTACTAACAAGTAACCTATTCTTGCTAGCTCGTGTTCTCTCTTGACACTCTGTCCCGAATCCAGTTCAGCCAGGATTCTGTCCCCAACACTCCACCAAAACAACTCTTGCCAAGGTCAAGAATGCGCTGCATTTTGCCAAATACAATGTGATTTCTTGGTTCCCACTGTACTTGATGAGGAGCAGCTCCTACAGCTTTTTACTCCTCCTTTCTTGAGACATTTCCTCTGGTTGGTTTACAGGACCATGCTCTCCTCTACCCCACCAGGCTCTCCTTAGCAATCTGTTGATGGCTCTGTATCCACGTACCACCTGAGAATGTGCCAGATGACTTGTCTTCACTCACTCACATGATTTCATCTAATTTCATAGCTTTAAGTACCATATGCGCCAATAGTTGTCAAATTAGTATCTCTAGCCCAGAACTAGATCTCCTGTGACATCTAGACACATGCACCCAAAGGCCTACTTGACACCACACCCACGTCATCCACTAGATAACCCAAGATCACTACTGAATCCTTGATTCCACCCAAACCCGGACCTCCACCTCTCTTCCCCTCCATTCATCCATATTTTCAGGCCCAAACCTTGGGCAATCTTTGAATTCTCATCTCCATCCAGAATTCAATAATTACTTGCCACCTCCATTACTCCCTGGCCTGGTCCAGATCACATCATAGCTCTCTGCATGGCTGCAATAGCCTGCCAAGGGGCTCTGCGCTTCCACCCTAAATGGTCCCTGGATGGTCTATGCTCCATAATTCAATCATAGTGGTTGTAAAATGTAACTCAGATATGCTCACAAATTTCCAATGGTTTCCTACCTACTAACAGTGAAGTCCAAAGTCCTCAGCACACGCTACATGGCCCTACAGGATTCAGCCCCTGCTAACTCTCTGACCTATCTCCTACCCCTTTGGTCACACTGTTTCCCTGGCTGTTTTTATAATTGCTTATAACATGCTTCCTGCTCAGAATCTTTGCAATCACTGTTTGCTCTGCCTGGAACTCTCTTGCTGCAAACAATCTCATGGCTTGGGTGTCTGCTCAAATACTACTTTATTTAGAGAGCCCTTTTGTGGTAGGCAGAATTCTATGATGGTCTCCAATACCGCTGTCCCCTGGTGTACATGCCCTGCATAATCCTCTCCCCTGGGTGTGAACGAGACCTTTAAATATGATGGGCTATCACTCCCATGATTAAGTTACTTAATATAGCAAAGGTAAAGGGATTTTGTAGATGTAATTAAAGTTCCAAAGCAGTTGATTTTGACTTAATAAAAAGGGAGATTAATGTAGATGGAACTGGCTTAATCCAGTGAGAAACCTTTAACAGAGGGACTGAGCCCTTGAGGAGGAGGGGAGATGGTTTCCTCCTACCCTTGGGGAAAAAAAAAAAAAAAGGCAAAGTCCTGTTGTGAACTGTGTGTGCGGTGGGTGGCCTGTAGGAGCCAAAGACCTCAGTCCGCAGCTGCCAGGAACTGAACTCTGCCAACACCCAAATTAGCTGGAAGAAGACCTCAAGCTCCAGATGAGCATGCCTTAACTGCAGTGTTATGAGACACAGCAGAGAGCCCATCTAAGCTGCGCCCAGACTTCTGACCTACAGAAATGGAGAGAATAAATGGCTGTTGTTGTAAGCCCCGAAATTTGTGCTAACTTATTACACAACAGTAGAAATCTACTATGCCTTCTTTAATATAGAATAGCACCCCCATACTTTCTATGTTCCTGATGTAGATTTTCCTTCAGAGAACTTGATTAATCATGAAAGTAATATGAATATTTGGATATTTCCTTTCCCTGCCTCTAGAATGTAAGTTCCTAGAAGGCAAGAAATTTAAAATCGTCTTTTTTTTTCCCCCGTTGCATCACAGCACCTAGAACAGCACCATGCACATAGCAGATGCTCAATAAATACTTCCAGAGTGAATGGATTTGCTGCTTACATTTATGTCAGCACAGGGTGACCACAAAAACTTAACAGCATTTAACTTTTAATTTTAAAAGGTTATTTCTCAAAGTAGAAGGACTGCCCTTAGAGGAAACCAACTATACATTTTTGGGAGATTCAGGAGTTCTCAAAAATGAAAAAAAAAAAAAACTGGTTTAAATGAATACCTTGAAAACATTTAGGGGGAAAAAAATGTATATAATCAGGCACGAACATATATTCACCAAAAGTCATATTAAAGTTCATTTCTAGAAATAAAATTCATTTCTATTTTTTGGAAGTGTTTCTAGGTGGTTAGATTCAGAAAAAAAAATCATTGATATCTCAATTTCAGTAACACTTTTAATGGATCCTTTTAGGATATCCCTCTGAGTAGTTAGTTAAATGTCCACTAAAAAGCAGTAAAGTCAATAGGATTTGTTTCTGGTTGAGCAACTAAACGAAAAAATACTGATTATTAAAAACCACGCAAAAAGTGATTGGTTTCTAACAGATGCCAGAAGCCTCTGTTCTACTTGAACTGAACACGTTAAATCAATGTTGTAGATAAAGAGGTAAAAGACAGGTTCATCAGATGGGCAACTGAAATATATCCAAACATTATAACTAATATGCCACATGACAATCATGAGTGAAATATGGGCAGGGGGTGGAGAGGGGAGACAAGCAATGGGTCAAAACCAACAGGTTCACTATTACAGTGACAAATGTTAAGACATATAGAATGAGTTTTAAAATACAAGTTGCCGTTCAAATTAAGCTGGATAGCCCTTCAAGTGGAAATAACAAAATCAGAGGCTTTGTTTGGCTGTTAGGTCATGCTAGATCAGTCACCAAAGTGCATGGCTATTTCAAAGGGAATGGAAATTTAGGCTGATTTAGGAGAAATACGGACTGTAAACAGAAAAGAAAAAAATCGCATAATCTCACTATTGGACTCTAGCCTGCTAAGGCCAGCCACATCTGGAAGCCTGCATTTAAATATGGGTGTTACATTAAACTGGAAAACGACTCCATGAAGAAAGTTCTGAAGTCAAATGGGTTTTAGAGTAAACTTACATTCCTCCCCTGCAGAACATCTTAGAACCTTTAATATGTTAATATTCCTTGCGATTTTCAAAATAAAGAGTGTGTGTGTGTGTGTGTGTGTGTGTGTGTGTGTGTACAGATAGATGGACACTATGCACTGTTTCTTAGCTTATTTGAAGATGGAAGATAGGACCAGGGATCTAAGCCACAAACTCAGGAAGAAACCATGTAGGCCCACGAGGAACAAGGTAACAAAAGCAGGTGCAGACTACATGTCAATAAAGGATCGTGAGGATATAGAATATGACGAGAAGCAAGGCTACTTACACTGTTTTTCCTAGGAAACAGGAACAAGTCTTGTAAAACTACAAATGGCTCTCAGAAAAACAAGGGGATGCGCTTCTTCTATATTGTTCTAGTACCTAAAGCAAAACAGTCTCTGGAGGTAAGGCTCAGGAATATGTATGTGTTTTAAAACACTCTCCATAAGAATTTAATCCAGAGAACCTGGTATCTGCTCTGAGGGTCAGAATTGGGGCCCCGACAGGAAGATGAGTTGAATCTCAAGGAAGAAGGTGAACCGTAACAAAGCGTTTTAGTATCACAGAAGTGATTCACGGAAAAAGAGCTCAAGTATGCACAGGGGCGAAGTAGATATACAGCACGCCACTAAAAAAAAAAATTCCTGCATATATCAAGTAGGAGACTGGATGATGGGACTCTAAAGGTCACTCCCAACACTGCACACTCAAGTGGGCTGGATGGTAACCTCCATGGTCTCGTTCACGACTGTATCTCAGGAGCAAATACGGAGCCTGGCACAGTGGTTTTATCACAAATACTGGTGGAATGAATAAACGAACAAGTGAAAAATAAAAGTGGTATCTGATTCCAAAGTCAAACAAGAAAGGAATGGGCTATTTCATTCTTTGGAGATCACTAAATATGCATAATTATGAATCATAATCAAGGTTACTTTCAAAAATAAGGAAAATGGTCTTTGTAATAATTTCACTTCTTGACTGGGAAATCATCTCTGAATTAAATCACACCAAAGCTTGCTGTGCAGTTCCCCTGGTAAGCATGTGAAAACACACTGCAGATTGTAAATGACCATCAGAAGTAAGGAGTGATTATGGCGACGATTATCTACCCTGACAGACTAAACTAACTCAGACAGCTGGAAACTAACCTTGAAAATGAATCCGCTTTTTATAGCCAGGGCTCTGAAAATGGTCCATCAGCCATGTGTTTTATTTGTTTAATTGTCAAAGGAGAACATATGTGTAACTTATTTTAAAACACCTTCAACAATGTGACAGTATCCTGATTGACTTGGTGACGAAGCTGTTTATAATTAAGTGGAAGCAAGTATGTCTTCAGACACCATATTCTTAACAAAGAATACACACCAAGATGGACCTTACAGTTTAGAAATTCATGAAACAGAAAGAACTTTCATTCACTAGATAAAAGTCGACACTGTCAGGCACCATATTTGTATCCATTTCCTAGAAGACTGAGGGTTCTTTCAAAATACATCTGTCATTTAGCCACAGCAGCTGATCAAACCTGCCACTGAAAAATGTTCTGAAGAGGCAACCTGTAGAACAAGCATGGTTTATTTCTGTCAGACTGACTGCCGAAGTGTGAAAGAAACTCATTAAAAATCTCTTACTGTGATCTTACATTGTAAAAAATATTTTTTTAAAAAAAGGAAAAGCCCAAGAAAGAAAAGGCAAGGAAAAAAAATACTTAATGAAGGGTACACTGAGCCTGCAGACGCACTCAGCTGGTGCTTTCTTATTCTTCTGTAGTAAGCAATTAGAAAAGAGCAATTAGTCCACGGAATACAGCATACACACTAGCTGTTTGGTGAAATCAAATAAGTTAACAATTTTATTTTATGCTAATATTATGAAAACTTAATGGAGATAAGAATATTGTACTCTAGGAAAAGCAATACAAAATAAACAGTATTAGTTACCTTAATCTTAAAACGAGGTTCACAGCGCAAGAAGCTTCTCTATAGTCTTCGCTAGCATTGGGTAGGCCCTTTAAAAACAAAACCGTAAAAAACAAATTAATAAAATCATGATACCCCTTGATTCACACAACCCTTTTTTTCTGGAAATTTCCAAACGAGGTCTTTATACACATGGCAGGTCCTGTTTGGCCACATAACAGCTCCCTGTGAAGGTTGGAACGATGCCTTATTCCCATCCCAGTTGGAGAGCCAAATGTTTCAAACAGAAAACCTCGCTGTAGGGTGGGCCCTATGAACAAGTGGCATAAGACGCAGTAAGGCCAAAGAAGAAGGGTCAGCCAATCTTAAAGGAGCATCCCTCAAGCTGAGCCACTGCCTGTACCCACTGGGATTTGGTGACGCACAAAGGCCGGGCACCTTAAACCTTCGGAGGCAGAGGAAGGTGGGATCCAGTAGGGATCTTCCCTGCCTTTCTCACCTACGACCTATTTCCTTAAATACAGATGGTCAACCACAAATGCCTGCTTCCACAGGCGCTCCCTACTCCTGTGAATCCCTGGACATGAGTAGACCTTCCTGCTGGAGTAGAGGGAGAGAGATTTCGGATCAAGACTTGGCTCTGCCACTGACCAGATGTGCAACCATGAGCAAGTCATTTTTTTGAACCTCTTTTCCCACTTACAAAATGGGGATAATACCAGTCTCAAAAGTTTGCTGGAAGAACAAACAGTATATATGAAAATGACTTGTCACTATAATGTGTTACATAATACTAGTTACCCTAATCCCCTTTCCTGTTTCCCTTATTCTATTTGCCTTCTGACAGATTATTATTCCTAACTTGCCTTTTGTCCCTCAACCGGTCCTCACAATTTATCTCAAGTTGTTTTACTGAGTTGCCTGATACAGAGTAAAAAGACCTAAACTGAATCCCGGCTCTGACTAGTTCTATAACCTTGTTCTATAACCTTGCATGAACCACTTAACCTCTGCAAGTCTATGCTTCCTCGGCTATAAAACAAGGGCCAAGGACTAGATGTCTGATCTCAAACAGGCTTCCTGCAACCATAAAATCCTCTCTCTCTCTCCTCAGTTTACAGCTGCTTTCCGAAAATACCCATCAGGTAGGATGGAAATGAGTTTATCGATGGATATGCAGATCTGGGGGGGCAGAGTTGTGATCCCAAGGCTGGTGATGCTTGATAGTATTAACGATTTTAGAGCAAAAGGGCTTGCCTATTAATTATATAGCAAAACCAGAATGGTGGCCTGCACCCTGGTACTATGTCCATGACCCTCCCCTGTGCTGCTCAGCACCCTGCATCAGCACCCAACACGACTCATGGCGCATGTTTTCCATCATGTAACTTTTAATATAAATAAATTTCAGTCCCTGGACTTTTATTTTTACAAGGCAAGTTGTAGAGATAAATTGGCCCATAAAATTCAATGGTAAAACAATTATGAAAACAAGTTGTAGAAATCCAACCGAGAGCCAAAAAGAAAAAAAAGTATCAACTCTACAGTTTGTGGCTAGAATCTAACAGAATGGGGAGTCATTTTCTTTCCTTTTCTGATTTCACATGGTACCAACAATTTCAGAAGCAGTGTGGTAATCAATCCTTGCTCTTGAACCTATCATTTAAAGGTTGGAGGTCCTGAAAATCATGATCAATAGTAACAGTACTCTTTTCTCCATACCTATTAAAAAAAGAGTTTACAAGCCTCTGATTTTGATGGACTGCCCTGAAACTGTCTATCTTCCGAAAATGTTGGTTTTTCTAAAAATAGGTCTACTGGTGGAGAAACGTACCTGAGAGTCCTGCACAGAGAGGGACTGTATCTGCTCGGGTATACTGCTGGCATTCACTGCCATCTGTTAAGAGAGACACCGTTACAGCACTTAAGGAAACCAAAATGAGACAGTAAGGTCAGCGTGCTTACACCAAGTCCCAATTATCAGAGACAATTTTGCATAAGTAATTTTAAATTGTTTTTTTGCCCCAAAGTGTGGTCCTTTGAAACCCTTCATGGGAATCACCTAGGACGCATAGTAAAGATTTCTGGGCCCTGCCTAGCCTAGGATTCAGAATTTCACAGAGACGAGAGTATGTGTATCCTTAACAAGTGCCCTGGGTGATCCTTATGCTTTCAGAGAGCCACTCAGCTAAAGTGAAAAGGCGGGGACTATTTGGTAGTTTAAATCTGATAACAGAAAGATGCTCTAGGACCATCTGTTCTTGTCACAGAATTTTGCCTCAAGTTAAAGGTCCCCAACGAAAGGATGTTAGAATTAGTAACCTTTGACCATGACTTGACCTTTAATCATTACGTGGAACAATTTTTTTCCCTGGATTTAAAAAATACATAATGGTAGTTGGACTTTTAAGACACATTTCCCCAAAAGAAATCCAAAGCAATAGGTTATTTTTTTCTCTTGAGTTGGAAATCCAACCCTAATGTGATACCAAAAGTATTTTTGCCTCAAGCTTTACTTTTGTGAACTCTGCCCTCAAAACAAAACTGAAAAGACCAAAAAGAAAAAAATAAAAAAAAAAACTAGAAGAGGAGCAACAATGAAAATGAAAAGTACGTATTATTTTCTAAAACTATCAACTCTAAAATAATCAGAAGTCATCAGAAATTTTTCACAGCAAGTTTTAAGACGTAAAATTCTTACTCTCTGGGCTTCCCCAAAATAACTACGTTAGTAATGAAGTAATAGGGGGAAGCGTACTAATGTATCTGTAATTTACTTTGAAATGCATCAAAAAATGAAGATGGACTGATGGAGGATGTACACATGATAAATGTATGATAAAGTATAGTAATGGTAGGATCTAGGTGTAGGTATGTGCGTGTTCACTATAAAATACTTTTACTGTTGCTCTACGTTTGAAAATTTTCATAGTAAAATATTGGGGGGAAATGAATAAGCAACATGCATTCTTTAACCAGCCAGAGGACCTGGGCCTACACCAAATGATCTCTTGTAAAGAATCCTTCAGGCTGACTGATCCCATGATCTCAATTAAGGTGTGAGATACAACCAAAAGCTACATCAGCACTTACAGAATATTCTACCTCTAGTCAAAAGACTACTCTAAACTGAAAAACCTTAATGGGATTTACTAGAGATGAAAACCTCTCTTCCTCCTAAGGAGGTCCCCTCTCCTGCCCTGCTCCCTTATTCCTGGGCCATCATCAGGATGGAGAGCTAGTTAACTAGACTGGGGGCTGGATCCCCAAGGACCCTATGCAACCTCACTCTGTAGGTGCAGCCCTGCAGGTAATGAAGGGACCAGCCTCTGGCTCTCACGGGTACAAAAGCAATACAGGGGATTCCCCAGGAAAATATGCAGAGATGCACAGGCGTGGTGGAGAGCAAAGTTTCTTGCGCAAAACATCTTCCTTGACAACCAACTCCAGTCACCCAAATTCTACCATTATGGGTAAACATTTTTAAATATAAAAACTCACAAGAAAGCTAACATATTAAGCAGGTGTTATTCATCACCAATATAAATTTGCTTACTGGAATTTTTTTTTTTGTTTTTAAACAGTTTGTTATAAGAAGCACATTTGAGGGAATGGGAGTTTTCATAGAAGGGGAAGAGAAGAACAGATTAATGATGGATACCATCCTGGAAATAGGCCTCTGAGACTGGGTGAAAGAAAGGGAAAGATCCCAGAATAGAGAAAAGAAAGGGACAATGTCTGCTAATTTTCCACAGGGCTCTGCCTAATCTTCTCCTTTTCTATTTTTAAAATTACTGTGGCAAAAAATAAAATAAAAAATAAAATAAAATTACTGTGGCTAACTAAATGCAGTGTGTTATCCTGGATTGGATCCTGGGACCAAAATAAAGGATATTAGTGGACAAACTAGAGCAATACGAACACGGTCTGTGGTTTAGCTGATGGTAAATGTAGCACTTTTGTTTCTTAGTTGTGACAAATGAACCAGGCTCACATAGAATGGAACAGTGGGTGAAGAGTGTATGGGAACTTTGTACTATCTTTGTCACTTTTCTCGAAAGCTAAAATTATTGCAAAATAGGTTTATTTTCAGAAATACAGAAGATTTCTGATGACAAATCTAATGTTTATGACAAAAAGTCAGAAAGCCAGTCACTGGAAATAAGAACGTCTTTTAGAAAATGGTGGCAGGAAAGTATGGAGTCAAAGCCATCTGTGGTGACAAAGCCAAACATAATAAATTTGGAGGGAGAAATTAAATCTGTGCCTCCATCTACCAATGGATACAATACAAACATGTATAAGAGCTGACAGGCATTTGGAAAACACAATGTCCTCAGAAACACACTAAAAAAAGCTAACGGCAGTTCTAACAATGAGGCAATAGCAATGAGTCAACATAAGCAATAAATTTAGCTTTCCCATTTTGACGAACCTCTAGTAAAATTAACTCAACCTAAATCCACACCCAATTTATTTTCTCCTCAGAACAAAATACCAGAGTTGGGAAATGTTTTCACAATTAACCTCGCCTAGATTCTGTAATAAAATTCTTCAACATAGCTCTTATGGGTTGTCGAGGGCCTCAGTCAACAAACCTTCCCACCTGGCGATTTCTGATAGATATTTAAAACAAATCTTCAGAAATTTTGAGCACACAATCTCCCTGGATTTCAGTGTGGACTTGTGGATTCAGAGCAAGTGGTGTGGTTTTCCTAGCCAGTGATTCTTGATCCTAGCCATGTATCAGAATCACATGAGCAGCTTTCTAAAACTCTGGGTTGCGTGGACATTATCCCCAACTCCCAAATCACAATTTTGAGGGCTGGTTCTAGGCATCTGCATTTTTAAAGCTTTCGGTTTTTCTGATGTGCAGCCAAGGTTGCAAACCATTTGTTTTCACGCCTAACAGAGGGGCTGCTGTAAAAATAACGCTTCCTTAGTAGAAGCCTTAGCAAATGTCTCCCTCGGTTAAAGGAAACCCCAAAAAAGTGGGAATGTCAAGATAAAGGCAATTTTACTTTTATATAGAAAATTAGGATATAAAGCAAAACCAATTTTAAAAATTATAAAACATGTATTATTTTCAGAATCTGACAAAAACAGATTTCCAAATCGCTGGTCAAAAAGAAGATCAATAATGAGGTAATAGCTGAAAGGTTTCCTGTAAGATAGGATGGCATATAGACTAGGAAACCCCACCTAAGGAAGCCAGTCTTGCAAATACCTCCCCCGACCCCCACCTCCAAAGAGATGAGAAGCTCCCAGAGAGCAGGCTCTCTGCTTTATATAATTCCCACAATGCCACAGTACCTAACACTGCCTCATGTAAAAATCAGGCACAGATTAAATATTTGCTCAATTAACTTCATTATTACTATTGTTACGTTAACAATATAGTCACCTTTAAGTCACCACTGGTTGCCACCATCCAAGTGGAATATAATAATAAATAAATGAAATGAGCATGAATTATCTACTTACTACAAACTACGAATTACTAGTAGGCTGTAACTAATACTTGGCAAGGCTATTTCTAAAACGTCAGAACACAGGAGGACCAATTTTTCTATGGGTTTGGCTATGAATCTCAAGACAAGTGGCGTAACTCTGGCACTTTCCAGGTTACACTGGAAATTCTCTCGGATTTAAAAGGACCTCCAAATATGGCCGAGTATCAGGCACATCTTCCCAAGGCCTCTCTAACAAACATCCCACCCTGACCTCCTTAATCGTCAACAAATGCTGTAATACCTGGACATTCTGCCTTATAATTCCTAGGGAAGCCAAATTGCCCTTTACAAATTAAGCATCTAAAACACTCCCTCCTTCACTGAAGCATCTCATTTCTGTCTCAACGTGGAGCTACCAAGTAGGGCTCCCGTCTCTGAACTTCAGCTCGATTACGTAACATCTTCTGATTTTTTTTTCCCTCACCTCTGACCCACTCACAAATATGATATGCCTCTTCAGGCACTTGTTTAATGTCTATTTCAGCGTGTGGGTATTCACGTCACCAACGACCATGTACAGAGTGTCCACTAGATGCAATGGGAACACAAATATGAATAAAATACTAGCCCTGTCTTCTAGGGGCTCCTAGTTAAGTAAATAAACTGCCATTTAAATGACGAAAGTCCTTGAAAAGTTTATTAAAATGTAAACACAGGCATTTAAATGTGCCATTTGGCACAGATAAGCATTTTTACCCTTAAAGATGTTTAAAGGTATAAGGTACCCTGTCAGAGGCTGTATAAATTGGTACTTTTTTATTCTCAACTTTACTGAGATACAATTGACAAACAGAAATGTGAGATATTTAAAGTGGTTCACATTTTGATGGTAGCTATGAAAAATTCAAAATCAGATTTTGTCAAACGAAATAATCACAGTTCTTTCAATTCTTTAAATTACTTTACCTGCACATGTGCCCCTTGACATGCAGACACAAAATGTGAATGGAAGGCAGTTTGTAATAGTAACCTACATGCTCACCAAAAAGTTAATGGTTAAATTAACCATTTCAATCCATCCAGGGTAATACTACTTGGCAGTTAAAAAGAGAGGCAGATCTACACAACAACTAACATGGGAAGATTTCCAAGATAGAATGCAAGTTGCAAAAACCAAAAAACATTTTTGTGGAATCACTATGTTGTCCACTGGAAACGAATGTGACGTTGTGTCAACTATACTTCAATAAAAATGTGTATGGTGTTTATAATCCCATTCACATTTTTAATAGGATATAGATTTCTTTATTTACATATTTGTATGTAAATGAGCAGAAAAAGTCTGGAAGAAAATATTGCAAACTGATAACCTCTTTGGAAAGAAGAAACAGACACAGGGCAAGAGGGGTAGCAAAATAAAAGTGGCTCTTCAGGCCTCTCTATTTAATTCTTCTGTACAAAGAATTTTACAAGTCTTTGCATCCCTTTCAATAATACCTACTCTGACCAACCCATTTAAAATTATAATCCCCTACCACATCCCTGTACTTCCCACCCACCATTTTTTTTTCCCATTGCTCCTATTCCATTGTAACAAACCACAAATTTACTGATTTATGAAGGCTGTTGCCTGTTGTCTATTTGCTCCCATCAAAATGTAAGTGCCACAGGGACAGGGATTTCGTGATTTTTTTCCCTCACTGATGTATCCCCCAAACCTACTAAAACAGTGTGCATAGTGTGTGTGTGTGTATGTGTGTGTATTTGTTGCATATTTACACATTCAACAGTTCTAATCCCTTTTTGTAATATATAAATACTTTTTGCCTCACTTACAAAAGGTGAATTTAAGTGGGTGGCAAGTCAGGGAGTTACTTTAATTGAAAGCTGAAAGGACAGAGGAACCATCATTGTGGCTGCTCTTAACACAGCTCAGGATACTGAAATGCCAGTCTTGAAAAACAAAACAGAACAAAACAAAAAAGTGGCCTGAAAAGCTATGTAATAGCAGGTGGAGCTGATTATTCCTAAAATGTAGTAAAAGTGTTTACATTCAAAGACATGAACCCTTTCACAAAAATAAGGCTATCTATGTGTTCCTTAATTATGAACCAGCATGAGAACAGACATATGCCTCTGGGAAATCAAATGAGTTGAGACACAGAGAAGTGCCTAAGACTTTCAAATCCCACCCAAGAAGGTCAAGAGTGATGATGATTAACTGTCAGCATGCTATCCATTACTCTTTCCTGTCTGTGCAGAAAATATTCTTGCCAAAAAGATACTGTTAATATCCAAATAACAGATCAGTTATCAGAGCAATTTCAACAAGCACAGAGGAGAATATTGTCACAATAAACTTAAATCCTCAAGAGGAAAGACCCACACCCATCAGCCTGCACGAGGGAAGGCTGGATTCGGAGAATATGCTCCGATAAAGACATCCCATAGTGAACCAATACAAATGCTTTCTGCATCACGCTGCCACTTGAATCACATTATTTTGTTCTATTTCTAGGCAGGATGGGCACTTCTGGTTCGAGACACTCTAGGAAATAGATGAAAAACCTTGACTCCGCACTTCACTGTGGGTAAAATAGGTAAGTGGGCAGGGAGAGAGCAGAGTTCACAATACCCGGTTAAGATCATTCTAAAAGCCAGCACATGTGTGCAGCCGACGGGTCCTACTGTGGAGCTTATCACCATCGTTTGTAACGGGGAGGGATAACTTCCTTGATGAAGCTTATGTGTTATGTACAAAATGAAAAAGATGAATTCCCATGATAAACATAGGAAGGAACAGGAACTGAAGGACAGGGAACAAGGGGAGGCAGGCAGGTTGAAAAATCCCGAAGGGAGGCCTACTGGTGTGGCAGGAAGGATGAAGAGACTGGAGGGAAGGGAGAGTGACAGGGAGACAATGGCTTGTAGCTCAGAAGTGCTCTTCACAGAAGGGCCAGCTGGAAACTGCCCCTTGTAGTGGACAGAAGACTGACCTCGCTGCATCAAAAGGAAATGTCTGCTAATTACAAAGAAAAAAAAAAAGTTGGGGTGGATCCCATTTGTAACCCAAAGTCTTCTGTTTTCTTAATGAGAATTTATCAAGGCATACATTAATTACTAGGTCTGTAAAATATTTGGAGCTATTTAAATACGCTCAAATTTTCTCTAGGAGAATTGGCAAGCCTTTTGAACTACAGTCATCATTAGGCATTAGGATAATTAACCAGATGGAGGAAGTAAAGTTAATCAAAAGATGACTAGTTCTCAAAGGGAAGCTGACGAGTGTTCCTTGCCTACGAAGCTACCCAGGAGACTGTAAAGTCAAGACAGATCCAACATGAAGTTTCCAACCAGTTTCTATCTGCTTTATTGTAAACTAAAAAATCTAGAAGAGATTTAGCCTGTATGCCTGCTGTGTTTTCTAAAGGACAGTAATATGAGGAGTTGAGATCAACTGAGTCCTAAGTTGAGCACCCAGTGAGCATTTTATGTGCATGATTTCATCAATCCTCAGAGCAATTTAAAAGTAGTATGATCATCACCATCTGACAGATGAGGAAACTGAGGCTCAGAGTAAAATCATCTGCCCCAATTTATAAAGGCCAAAAGTAACCCTCAATCGGGACCTGCAAAGTCTACATGCCTTTTCTTTTCTGTTATTCCACGAGAACAAAATTTTGAAGTCTCTTTCCCCAAATGGATCACATTCTGACACACTACAAGGGGCGGTGGAGGGGGCGGGAGTGCGTGGGCCAAAAAAGTTTTAAAATAAATAACCACCACTCACCTCTGGGTTTTCTTCTTTTACTCTTCGTGACTGTAAAACAATTGCAGATCCATTAATACACGTACCCACAAAATGCCACAAAAATAAAATGTGCACAGGTTAGCCCACCATCGTCGATGTCTCTTACCTTTTCTTGAGAAAAAGCTGCCTTCCCTTCTTCACTTTTCTCATCCATCTCGTCGTCACTCCACTCCCAGTCACCGTCCTCGGTTTTATGAAGGTGACCGCTTGACCCAGGAACTCTTCTCACCTGAATCGAAACACACAGCCCAATTCTTCACTAGCGGAAGGTAAACAGCGCTCGCTGGGACAGCAACTTGGGTTACCCAGCGCACGCCTATCCTGAAGACACCCTGACTGGTTATGAATTCAGGGATAGCAGTTAGTACCCAAAAAGACCACCCGGCCTGCACACTCCCACACTTGTCCTCTTTCCAAAGCAACGGTGTTCTCGAAATGCATTACTACACACATGAAGAACAGAATATTTTGGAAGAACACCACACACATCAGCCATCAGGATCAAACCCATCCTTCACTTTTGCTTCAGTTAACACTTCGTTAATTACTACACATTAAAGGCCATGTGGTCAGCTTCAAGACTGCCTAAGGAAATGCAAGTGAGCAACAGACTGCTGGCGGAGGAAAGGCAGGGGAATCAGGCAGCCTAACGGAGCATACGAATCTAGGGGTCTATCAGCGATCTAAAACCTACGTCAAAAAAAAAAAAAAGCAAATACTCTTCTGTTGCCATCTTGCTTTTTTTCAGAACCTGACATCACCCTTGTCGTCCCACGATTCTGCTCAACCCACTTGAGCAAAATGAAACAGCATCAGACTATTCTTAACACACCTTGTAACGCTTCTGACACTTGGGGGATTGCCAGAAACACAGCAAGATAATCAGCAGCCGTGCCAGATAATCTAGACAGATTACATCAGCTGTCTGCAAGAATTTCAACATTTTTTTGAACTAGGGTAGAGATGTGATTCGGGGGTGTGCTTTCCAAATGCCTGGTGTGGGCGAAAAAGCAAAATTTTTAAAAGGACAGGATGACTGAGAATGATGAGCCTCTGACCAAAGTACTTTGCATTAAAAACAAATGGACTCAGACATAATTAAACAAAGTAGCAGATGAACATGTGAACATAAGAGCCAATGATCCACTGATTCGGAGAAACTTCAAGGGGAAAGGGACCCTGGAGACTGTCTAGTCTGACCCCCTCATTTTACAGATGAGAAAATGAAGGCCCAGAACATGACCGAAAATCGCAGGGCTATAAGGATAAAATTAAGAAAAAAGCCTTCAGATTCCCATTCAAATGTGAGACTTACACCACTGAATGACCACTGTGAAACTGAAGTTGTCTCAAAACATCCTGTGAAGACTCTGAAAGACTATAATGTGAAGAAAACACTATCTTCCATAATAGAAACTACTTAGTTATATCATGGGAGCTTCGTTAATCCTAAGGGAAATACCACAGACCTTAAATGTAAAGTAAGGATTTACACACATGTTCAGTCAATGTCAATTCGCAATCAGTGCAGGCTCGGGGTTGGGTTTGACTTAAAGACATTATCGTGTGGAACCTGTAAAGCCTGACCATTTGGTCTAGAAGATCAGAGCCTCAATATGGAAAGTTAAAAAATAAAAAGTTCTTATTCATAACTGCAAACAGTTACGCTTAATTAAAAAAAAAAAAAGCTTCTCTCCACTCCAAAAAAACTGAATTTACCTTTGAAACCTTCTAGGCTTAACATATTTTTTTCCATTTACTTTTTTTGAATCATTGGAAAAGACCTAATGATAGTGATTTTAATGCGCTAATAGATGCTGGCAAAGTAGTGTAGGGAAAAAATGCTGAAATGTCCTTTGAGACATTCAGAACAAACTGCTCTTTAAAATTACAAAGAAATGGATAGAAGAGAAAACAATTTTTTTCTAAAAAATGATTTTAGAGAGAGAGAGCACACAAGTGGGGGGGGGAATCCCAAGCAGACTCCACACTGAGTGCAGAGCCCGATGTGGGGCTCAATCCCAGTACCCCAAGATCATGAACTGAACGGAAACCCAGAGTCGACACTCAACCGACTGGGCCACCCAGGCGCCCCGAAGGAAAATAATTTTCTGTTGACATATACTATAAAATTATTTTCTTAGCAGTACTCATCATGATGATAGCAACATAGAGGAAAATCTGTTGATGACTACATCAAAAGAGGAAAATCTGTTTAATGACTACATTAAAAGACTTTCAAGCAACATCTATTACAAAACATACTATTAACTCAGAAGTAGGAAAACTATCAGAAACAGAACTCTACCTTTACTGAAACAGAAAACAAAACAAAACAAGCATGGCTGATGTGTTAGTATTCTTCAAGTACTAATATTTAAGACATTACACTAAGGAAATCTCTGACAACAGAGATAGTGCAGCTTCACACCCTGAAATCTCCTTTATGCCCTTTCTCCTCTGTTTACAGGATTTGCCAGTTCTGTTTCTACAAGCAGGCTCCAACCACAGACAATAAAATGGCCACCTTCTATTTTATTTTAGAACCCTGTCTCCCTCCTAGTTTTATTTGCTGGAAGAGAGAAGGATAAAGCAAAATGTCTAAGATTATAGCCTCGGGCACTGAAAGAAATGGTGACATGGACCTTTAATAAATACTGAATAAACAGAAATTAAGACAAAAACACTATAAAATCTACGTAGCAGAAAATATTGGTATAGGAGTCCTGAGAACAAGAATACAGAACTGTTAAGAACATCCTCTCGGTTTACTGGAAAGAAAAGAACTTGCAGCATAATTTGAAACCCGGGTTTCACGGTATATTTATGTGACATTGACCTCCACTGAAAAGACCAGAAAGCAATTCTACAAAGTTACATCCCTGTGGGGAGCTTGCAGAGACTCCAGGAAACAACTTCTACCTTCCAAAGCCAAAGCAACTAAGTTTCACATTGTTTAACAAATGGGGTTCTTATTTAGGAACTGATGAATACTCTACAAAATAAAAGATGTGTAAAGGCTTCTGTCCTTCCCCGTCTCCTACCCCGAGGATGGGGGTTACCATTGCATTGCTCTCATTCTGTTTAACAAATCCACCACTTAGTAAAGCCAAGAGGAGGTAGTTGGGGGTTTAAAAAAAAGAATCCAGTGCTTCTCAGAGAAAGGAGCTCAGTCGTGAGCCCACAAATTCCTCAGGTCCAACAGTGAGTTTAGACAAAGTTTTACATGCAGTAACATTCCTGGGCATAAAATACAGTTGAGCAGCCCTACTGATAGGTTATTTTCTTTCCTTTCTCGAAACCCTATCTTTGTGAAAATCCGTTTTAAAAACTGAACCAAAGTTCTGATTCCCACCAGAAAAGAAGTCAGGTTCAGACAGAAGAGTGTGACTCCCGGGCTACTGCTGGTGGCAGAGCCGGGATGGAGCCGCCAGGAACGGGGAATGGCAGCAACAAGGGTAAGTCACTGGAGTGTTCCCAGTGGCGCCCCTCTGAACAGGAGCTTTCTAGAAATAACCAGGACCCAGGGTCTCTGTACAACATCTCACATTGAGCCCTGACACCAGAACAGGAAAAAAGGTTTGAAGGACAGAAGACGACAGCCAGCAGGTAAGCTATCTAGACAGGGTGTTAAACATGTTAGAAATTAAAGTGTGTTTCTCTAACAAAGGATGAATGTGACCCCGAGAAAAACTGGCCAAAATTTAGCAGCATTTGTCCCATCCTGCAGGGTCTGCTGTTCCCACGGCTACATTAATGTCTCCCAGGAGGAATGATTTCTCCATCAATGGGAATCCTGCACTGCACTTCTCCACCTGGTAACATACAGCCTGACCTGAGTGATCTGGACATGGTAGAAAGCAACACCCAGGAGCTTTTCCCTTATCAGGCAGTCTACTGACCAGAAGTATTAAAAATGTTTCTAATTAAATGTGGTTTATAATATTTGAGGTGCTGCCAAGGAAACAAAAAGCCTTCTAAATCATCAAAAATAAATAAAATTAGGGGCACCTGGGTGGCTCAGTCGGTTAAGCGTCCAACTCTGGGTTTCGGCTCAGGTCACGATCTCAGGGTCGTGGGACTGAGCTCCCCCTCGTCGGGCTCCGCGCTCAGTGCAGAGTTTGCTTGTCCCTCTCCCTCTGCTCCTCCCCCCACTTGTGTTCTCTATCTCTAAAATAAATCAAATCTTTTAAAAAAGAGAAAATAAAATAGAATTACTCAGTAAGTTTTCAGCGGAAATATTTTACTACCCATCTTATACTCTGACATTACATCCTACAACCTCTCTGACACCTCCATCCCAAACCTACTACCTGGCCTCACTGTGCCCTCTGGCCCCCAGCCCGCCCCCTCCTGGCTTCACCCCCCATCTTATAAGGTCTGGAGCCCACAGCTGACTCTGCTGATACTGCACTTATTATACCCCACCCCCAGACCCCTTCCTGTACAAATCACACCTGGGAGGAAAGCTGGGGGGGGGGGCTCAGTCCAAATACCCATCCTTCATTCCTGAGCGAATGGAGACTAGCCACGCACCTGGTGCCATGACGGATGGTTGCTGGCCACTCCTGGGCGGGGGGGGGTGCGGGGGGCGGGTATCAGGACTGCCACAACCCTGCCACTCAAGGTGTGGTTCCCGCACCAGCAGCAACGGCATCACTGGGGAGCTTTATCAGAAATGCTAAATCTTGGGCTCCACTCCAAACCCACTAAATCATAATATTCCTTTTAGCAAGCGCTTCAGGTGATTCCTATTCTCATTCGGGTTGGAGAAGCACTGTGCTGATCGCTGTTAGCCTATTCCATCTCCCCAGCCCGTAATACCAGCTGTTATTTATGTAAGACAGTTAATGGGCTCGGAGAACTTTAAATACCTTAATTAATTTAATCTTCAGGGTAGTTTTGTGAGCTGAGAATCATTGTACTCGCCCATTTTTCTGAGGGAAAACAAGTGAAACACCTGACCCAAGCCATAGGGCTGGGAGAGCCGGGGCCAGGACGGGAGCGCAGGAGTCTGACCCCCAACCTTCCAGGGCTGGGCTCCGCTACTGCGGCTCACCGGGGAGCCCGTCCTGCCCAGCTCCCTCCACCTGCCACCCTGAGCGCACCAAGTCCATCCAACCTACAGCGCACCCCTTCGAAGTGATGCTGATCCCCTCCTTCACACGCTCCACCCACCTTAGCCTCTTTCCCGCCTGTGTGTAGAAAAATGGATCCCCTTTCCTCTGA